CCCAGGGAGGAAGGAGTCTCTTGAGAGGACACTTGGCACTTGCAAGTTGCTTTAGAATCGGACGCACTGGGGTTTGCTACTAAGCTCTGTCGCTGTGCAACGCCGGGCAAGACACTTCGCCTCTCTGAGCCTCCGTTTCCTCGTCTGGACGTGGGGATAGTAATGGCTCCTACCGCAAAGGCTGTTGTTAAGGATTCAATGAGAAAATGAAACCAAAGTGCTTGGAGGAGACCCAAACCCGGGGCATGCTCAACCGATATTACCCACTATTGATGTTGTTGGTATTGCCGTCTTTAAGCTTTGAGCACAAGGGAAGCGTCTCGGACGCCTGCGTTTCTTCCTTCGTTCACCACGGCTCTCCTTGCGCCACACACCCTCACCCCCTGCCCGATGACCAGGATTCCAGAGCGATAGCTGGCCAACTCCCAGGGGGAGCGACTTCTGGAAGATCCCGGGGACAGAGGTCAGATGACCTCCAAAGTTGAACCCCAGTCCAAGCACCTAGCGTCTTGTCCGCATAAATCCCCCCCGGCCGCCACCCGCAATTGCGGCACTAATGGGCCTCTGTTCCTCGTAGGTTAATATATGTATTATTTATAGGGTTTTATTATGTGCTCAGAGGGCTCCCCTGAGAAATGTAATTGTGCACTGGGAGGTGAATTTGAATAATATTTACAATTAATTTCCATCAATAAAGCAACGCACCGAGGCCTCTGTGCAGCTGAAACGGGCCCTGGGTTGGCTTTCCGCTAACCGCTCCCCCGAGAAAGCTCGGGTAGCTGTTAAGCGTCTCTAGAATAGTCCACTTGTCTCAAGCTCTGCCTCTGCTCCCACTGCACGCATGTGGACGCCGTAGCCGCCTCCTGGCTTTCCCTTCTGCCCTCCTCCAACCTGTCCTCCCCAGCTGGGCCCCGGGCATCGGGCATCATTGCAAATATGCAGGGCTGAGCATGGCCCTGCCCTGCGCCTGCCCCCCCCTGCCCTGCTCGCCATCCCGTCTGCTCTGTGCTCTCTGCTGCAGCCCCCAGCCTCCTTCAGTCCCCGGCAACCACTCTCTCCTCCCACACTGTTCCCTCCCGCTGAAGCACCCTCTCCCGCACCCCACCCCCAATCAGCGCCCACCCATCCTTCCCGTCTCAACGCCAGCATCTCTTCCCCGAGGAGGTTTCCCCGGTCTTCGGACAGGGTCGGTCGGATCTCCCTGTAATGCGTGTGTAGCACTTAGTGTGGCTGTTTTCCGTTGAGGGTGTGGTTTTTAAAAACTCGTTGGCTGTCTCTCCCACTGACCAATGAATGGGCTCATGAGGGCGGAGACTGTCTATGTCCCGATCACTCTTGCGTTCCTGGTGCCTAACACAGGGCCGGGCAAGGAGAAGCTATGAAATAGATTTTCACGGAATGGATGAACGGGTGGCTATAGAAACGGTTATGTAAATGGATGGGTGGGTGGATGTTGGGGGGGATGGGTGAGTGTTATCTTGAGTAAGTCCCCGACAATCTCCCGTCCTTGGTTGCTAAGGAACTGAGAGAAGAGGAGGGAATGCTTTTCAAAATGCAGTGTCTTTGAAGTCCTAAATTTAAGGAACGATAGGGAATTTGGGGGTTCCTCCAGCCGCCGCGCAACACTGCTGTGTGACTTTGGGCAGCATTCTCCACTTCTCTGAGCCTCGCTTGCCCCTCTGGGAGGTGGACGGGGAAGGCATGGGGGTCTTGGGGGCCAGGAACATCCAGCACGGAGCCCACTCTTGCTTCAGTCTCTAATCAAAAGCAACTTTGTCCTCAAAGGGAGAAAGCAATTCTTTCACGGTTGGACAAGTGGCTTCCTGGTTCCTCCTGGTCCTGGAAGGCATCCCCAGCAGCAATTTTCCAAATCCAGGGTTTGGCAACCACGGGCCCGGGGCGCCCCAGCTCCGGCCAGGGCACAGCACGCTAGGGCAGAACGGGAGGGGGAAGAGCTGGGGAATTGTAGACCACTTCCAAGCGAGCAAATGCCACCTCGGTTTGCAGCAAAGGGCGGCTCTCGAAACCTCAGTTCCCTCATCTGTTAAATGGGAGAGACCCTGATGGCTCTCACTGTTGGGTTCTTTTTTTTTTTTTTTTTTAATT